TGCCATGCGGGCCATTCCCGCGCGTCGGCCGCGCGCGCATATCGAACTCCTTCCAATACCGCCATCACCGACGCGAGGACGCCGTCATCGTCGTCGGCGTGATCAGCATCGGCGCCGCCACTGGCCGCACCGTCGTCGTTGTCAGCATCGCCGCCAGCATCGCGACCCTCATCATCGCGTCTACCGCTGTCGACGTTGTCATGGTACCGCGCCCGCCTAAGTCGCCGACTCGCACTGAAGTGCCCGCTGGGACGCGCCCGGCGGCCAGCGCCACCGCGGCCGCGCCCGTCGCGCCAGACTACCTGGCCGCTGCGCGCGCGTGCCCGGGTTGGCGCGGCCGCAGAGACGCACCAGCCAACGCCGAGCACTCACCGCAGTCGCAGCCGCATGGGTTTTGCAAAACCAAGTTGCGGGTGGATGGGTGGGATGTCTGCAAGAGCATGGAATGCGTCAATTCGTTTGCAAACACCGTTTATCACCAAAACTCCCACCAGAAGTGCGACCCTGGCTTCGAACCACACAGAAACAGAACTAGGATTTCCACGAGAAGCGCAGCAGGCCTGGCACGCGCGCCCAGGCCTGCGCCCCAAGCTTTGGTTGCACTCCAGTCATCTTGGACAGCTGCTCGAGGACGCGGCTGCACTTCTCATTGCGCACAACGGATGAATGACTTGCCCCGTGGCCTCTCTGCTGCACCCCTGGCAAGGTCGAGCGCCCGTCGAGCCCATCCTCGAAGGGCCCGACATGGCGGGCCGCGCGCGGGCACCCGTGGAGCGCGTTGAGCCCGCCGGAAGGCAGGCTTGAAATCCCTTTCGCACTGCTGCCAGGAGACGCGAAATAATCGATGGTGCGACCGGATCGCTCTCTCGCACGAGCGCTCGAGGCGGCCCCTCACTCGCTGCCCGTCGGCCACCCCACTCCGGACCCCAACGTCCTTGCGCCCAGTCTTGAGGGCCTTCTCCTGCTCCGAGTCGCCCTGCACGACGCCCCGCCCCCCCGCGTATCTCTGGCCCGCCTGAGGCTGCGGCGGCACCGCATTCACTTGGATCAGACGCAAGGCCTCCGACGGCCCCACGTAGACGTCGCACTGCAGCACCAACACGCCGGCTGCCCCCTTGCTATGGTTGTCGAGCATCACCTTCACCAGCAGCCCGTTCGCGGCCTCCGGCCGTCGGGCTAGGTCGCACTTTTCGGAGCCCTTGATCTTCAGCAAGATTCCACGCATTCTTCAGGCGGCGCCCCATCGCAGGGCCCTCCCCCGCCAGTTACTCCTCGGCAAAGTACTCGCACGTGAGCCCATCCACGGCGCCCGCGCCCAGCAGCCTGGCCGTCTCGAACACCCGCTGCTGGAACTCTGCAAGCCTCGCCTGGCGCGACCTGAGGGTGGTCGCCATCGCTGTCGCCAACCCGAGCAGCTGCCTGACTGGCACAGCTTGACGCGGCTCGGCAAGTCGCCTGGCCGTCTCTCGGCGGCGGGCACGCCCCTCCGGCCTGGGCCGCTTCTCGGGCGCGCTCAGCACTCGCGCGACCGAAGAGCGCCCCGCGCTTCGCGACGCAGTCGGCGCCCCGCCGCGCCGCGTCGCCGCCCTCCGCTCCGAGATCGCCGACTCCAGGCTCGTCGAGGTTGAGTCCTGGGCATAGCGGCCGACGACAACCATCGCGAAGCTCTCGCTTCCAATCTCGCGCCCAAGAAAGCTTCGAGGGCGAGCCGGCGAGCCAATCAGGAGCCCCAACTTCTCGAGCCACAGCGTTGTCTAAGGACGTGCGGAGGGCCTCGGGGCACGCGCCTGCCAGCTTGACACGAAGGACCCAGCGCCGCACCCAACCCCCCCAGCCCCCCTTACATTGATACGCCCCACCAACGGTAGATGAAGATGTTGTTTGTCACACAATACCGAAAAATCAGATCGGCGTGCTTCGAGTTTGTCACGATGCACGTAGGCTTCCGCTGCGCACATGATCGCGCCAAGCATGACGAGGTGGACCTTCGGGGGCCCCTGGGGCCCAGCGATCGGAGGAAACTGCCGCGGCCTGCTCGACCGAGGACTTCCCAAGGCGAAGGTAGCCCCACACTGTGCAAACTCGCGAACTACCTCCGCACTGAATAAAGCGAGTCCCACTCGGAGTGGGCCACTCCCAGATGTCCCCGAGCTCTCGCCCTCGCCCAGTTCCGGATACCCCTCGTTATCATAAACCAGATGCTGCACGGGGCCCCCAGGTGAATGCGTCGAATCCCCCCTTCTCTGATCATTCGCAAGACGGACTTTTGAACTATTTTACTAGCCAGGTCACCGGCCCCAAGCTGCAACTCGAAAGGCGGGCCTGCACGCGGGCCCCGACGCCGACAAGCTGCTGCAGCGGCCCAGCCAACAGCTCCAGGCCCACCCAATCTGAACGACGCGTCAAAGCAACGGGCAACTCGAGACGCGGGCTGGACAGCGCTCTCGACGGCCGCCTCCAGCTCCAAACGCCCCCTCGGCAAGAGAGGAGCTGAGACGGGGCGCTCGGTCACCGCGGGCGGCGCCTCCACCGGCGCCGGCTGCCCACGGGGGCCCCCGTTGGCAGCGCGGCACTCGCTGTCGACGCGCCTCCACCATGGTCGAAGGTCAACCGCCCGCCGACTGGCACGCAGCCCGCAGCGCACTGCGCGGCCCCGGATTGCCCCCGGCCCACGTCAAAGAAGCAGCGCGTCACCACGTTGTCCACGAGGCGGAGCCCCCGACGTCCTCGCAGGCGCCAGCTTCGAGCACACCGGCGCGCGCCGCCCAAAACGACGCGCGCCTCCTTCACGTCGACGCGCCCCTCTGGACAGGTACGCAGCCCACGCGCAGCTAGAGCCCAAGTCGATTGATCCGCCCAGCACTTGGAAACTGACGGAATCGCCGCAGGCACCTCCACCTCCACGCCGTTACGCCGGCGCGCCCTGCGGCGGCGAGGCGCCCTACCCGCGCTCGCCGCCCCTCGAGCCCAGCGGGCATCAGCGGTGTCAGCTCTGGCGAGCCGCCCAACAGTCTGGCCCCGAACCGACGAACACCTGCTCGCCCTCGCCCTGGCGGCCGCTGTCCTCGGCGCTGCCCCCGGCGAGATCTCGCGCGACGCCCGCGCTGGCGAACGGGCGCTCGGGCTCGGGCTCGGTCTCCATGAAGCGCCACCTTTCACGGTACCTCATCTCCTCGCGAATGGCGGGCGCTGGCGCCACTTGGCACGGCAGGCCGCGCCCGCCGTCGAGCGGTCGGAGGCGCGCGCCACGCTGGAGACAGGCATGCCCAGGCCCACGCGGGGGAAGAAGACCAGGCTCTGCACGGCGCACATCTCCCGCCTGAGGACGTAGCTGATCTGAACGCGTCGAAGGCGCCGAAAGTCGAGACGGCGACACACCTACTGGAAAATTGGCATCAAGGGCCGCCGCAACACGTTGATCGCGTGGCCGAGCCAGACCTCCAGATCGCCGCCGCGCACATAGCGTCGACGTCGCAACGCCTGGGCATCGGCCCATAAGCGCCAGAACCTCTCGGGGGTGCGCCTGAGCTCCCGCATCTGCGCGTCCAGGACGAGCCCGAGCGAGCCCACTACCTCCCCGACCTCGGGCGGGTGCAACGAGAGGACCGTCGACCCCGCGAAGCCCTGCAGCGCCGCCAGGCAAGCCGAGGACCCCGGAGGCTCGGCCGCGACCACCGACACATTGTCCAGGCAGTCGCCACCCAGGCCCCCGGGGCCCCAGTCGGGCGGCAAGGGGGCCTGGCCCGACATCACCGACACCCCCGTAAACCTTGAGCCGCACATCAATGCAACGTCGCCGCCCTTCCAGAGACGCCCCACTCGGGCTTTGACCATTCCCCTCGCCGAGCAGAGTCGCGCGCGATAAAGCGCCCTCAGAAGATGAGCTCGCGCCCAGGCACCTCGACGCAGGGCGGGGCCCCTGCGCGGCGCGCTCAGCTCGCCCTCGGCACGCAAGCTCTCGACGTCCTCCGCGCACCGCCCGATGCGCCTCTCACCGCGCGTCACAGACCCGGCCGCCACAGGCGGCAACGCCTCCGCTGCGCCCCCAGGCTGCACATCGCCCTTCAGGACCCTCAGCTCGTCGAAGGAGTAGCTCGCCATGTGCCGCGGCAACCCCCCATAGAGCGACTGCGCCTCGAGCAGCTGCCGCGACGACACCCCCCCGCCCAGGCCCCTCGGCTCGCCACCGCACTTTCTGATCACTGCCTCGATGTGACCAAGACACTCTCGACAAGCTCTGCCAACGAAGCCGGAGTGGGCAGGCGCCCTCTCCAGATCGCCAGCACGCGCGGCGGCGAGATAATCTAGCGCTCGACTCGCCTCCTGAATTCGCCCCTCCCGCTCAGTTCCAGACTTCACAAGTGCGGGCTCAAGAAATTGAAAAGGAACTCCGCGCATGCACCCCCCGGGCACGCGACGGCCTGGAGCCATCGCCATCGGCGCCCAGCGCCTGGAAGAAGGCGATGCACTTCAACGCCTGGCCCACCGAGCTACATGCCCACGCCCCGCGCGGCGCCGAGGCACAGCGAGGCCCACCCATGATCCGCCCCTCCATGGGAGCGCCCATCACCCCCACCCTTGCCTCCACGACCTCGACCGCTACCTCCGCCGCGACCTCGGCCCAGGTCGTCATCGATAAGGTCATCGGTCCTCCGCTTGTTGGTCTCCTCACGGCAGAGACGCCCCTGCCTCCAGATGTCGGCCCGCTCCATCTGCGTCTTGGAGATGTGCCCCTTGAAGCCAGCCATGCGAAAAGCCCCCTTCGCCGTCGCCACGCCTCCCTCGACAGCATCTACACCACTGGTCTGGATGCCGAAGGCCCCTCTCCACCTCGAGCTCCAGGCTCACCCATCGCCGCGTCGCGTGCTCCACGCAGGCCAGGCTCGCCACGTCGAGATGGTCCGTCGCCATCGCAGCCGCAGCAGATCACACAAGGACCTGTGCTCATGCGCGCGTGAACCTCTCTCACGCACTCCACTCACGCGGATCCAGTCCGAATGCTACGAGATGAAGCCCCCAGCTCCATCTCTCACCTGCTCGCAGAACTCCGCCGCAGCACTCGGCCCATCGAAGCGCCGCAGCTTCTGCCCCATTTCGGGCTGCACGGCGTCGACAGCGGCCCGCATCTCCAGGATCCCATCGGCCGGCGACGAGCCCGCTTGCCCCTTCACTCGGGCAGTTTCCAGCGCTCGACGGCCACTTGCTCCGAGAGCCGCCTCACGCTTGAATGCGTCCAACTTGTCCCTCGAGACCAGGGTGACAAAGCGCTCCTCCCCGCCCAGGCGGAAGACACCCTTGCGGTCCAGAACCGCCGGGCCATCCTCGTCCTAAACCAAACCCTGGCCAACGATCTCTCCGAAGCGCGCGTCGGTCGGCATGCTCAACACCCAGACGATATTGCCGTCCGCGTCGACCACGTCGGCGACGAGGATGTGAGCCCGCTGGCGGGCGCCCCGCCGGTAGTTTACAAGCTCCCAGTTGTCGACGGGGTCCAAGACGCAGCACTCTATCGCAACGTCAGCAGGGAAGGGCTGGCGGCGACCGATAACACGACGCCGCGCCACCGAAAAATCGACCAGAACCAAATCGAAGTCCAGCGTCAGACAGATCCACAAGAGACCCCTCGACCCGATGGAGTAGCAGCCTATGGCGCCAGTCGAAGCCTCCAGCGGCCCCAGGATAATTGAGCAGAGC